CCCAAAGGGCCCTTCCCTCTCTAGCCTTTTGCAACCTATTCTGGATTTCAGCAAAGAACAATGAAAAAGGCAACCAAGCCTGGCACAAGTTAGTGGCTGGATGGGCAAGGCTGGGCAGATGCTAACTTGGAATCCTACCCTGGGGCCCCATACTGCCCAACCCCAGTCCCTCTAAGGCAAAAGGATAGGCCCTTTCTCCACGGTGTGAGTCCAAAGGTATAAGGCCCTCTACGCAAGCCATGCTTTCTTTCAGGGGCCCTCTCCATGGTGGTGGTAAGGCCCTGAGCTCTTATCAGGTGTTTGGTCCATTATAGCTGACAGGTGTGGCCTTCCTTGGCCAGCACTCAGCTGCTGGTTGAAGGGCATCACTTAAGTATGTCTCCTATGGACAGTGCTCAGGCACAAGGCCCCATCTTTGCCATCTGGCCAGTCCTGGGCTACCTGAGACCCAGATGTCAGCCAAGGAGAAAGGGGTCTCTTTACTTGATGCTTGAGGCAGAACCAGTGAGAGGCAGCCCTGGAAGGACAAACAGCTGCAGGCACTGTGCTGGGCTCAGTTTACCCCATGGGTGACTTGAAGACATTAATCCACACCCCACAAAGATGTACCAGAAATTAAGTCCTGGCTGCCACCTGTGCCCATGCAAGCAGAAGGAAGGAAAGAGGCCCTGAGCATGCTGCTGAGTCTACCAGGGATCTGAGGCTAGGCCCATACAGCCCATCCTCAGCAGAAGCCAGCCAGCAGACACAGTGCCCACCACACACCCAGGCCCAGAGATGCCAGGCACCCTTTAGCTACTGACCAGGCCTCCTGGATGCACCACGTCAAAGTGTCCCCACCAGGCTCTGAGAGAGGCACCCTGAGGCCAGAGGGGCAGCCCTGGGGTCCATATTAATTTCAGCTCCATTTTAAAGGCGAGTTAAAATAAACATGGGGAATATTTATAAGGCAAATAAATCTGGCAGAAACAGCCCCTCCAAGTGTGAGCAGGGCCTCCCCCTCTGCCCCAGCCCAAGCTGATAAAATACAGAAATGCTACTGTAGACCCTCCGGGCTTATTTTGACTGCGCAGAGGAATGTAACATGTAAACACTGACTCCCATGCTGCACTGCTACAACTTGCACTAACAGCGCCGGACAAAGCCGCGTTTTCACAGAAGCATCGTACAGGGATATATCTCCAGCTTAATTTTTAAAAAAAACCATTTCCTCACATAAATCATGCTCAGAACTAAACGGGTGACTGATACATCACAAACACTTTTTTTCTTAAACAATAACATACCTAGATTCCATCTAAACGAAGGAGTTTTGTTTTTTTTTTAATCTTCGAAATGTTTTTTTTCTGAAGAAAATAAACACTGCAGTTTCTTTCCTGACTGAAATATCTGGGGCCATATCTTCCCAACAGAGCTAGCTGCCCCCAGCACAGGTCGCAGGGGAGAGGTCCCCAGCCTAGGGCCACCTCCCTGGGGGCAAGTCTTTGCTGAACTGTACTACATGCATAGTACCAGGTCCCCTTTGCAGAAATATGTCTGACCAAAACTCAGAAAATGCTGGCCATTGGTGCCAGGCCAACATAATGGTCTGAGTCCGGGAAGGGAAGCCAGGCAAGACAAGGCTAGGCAAGAGATGTAAGCTGGGCTGGCTTCCAGGGCCACTGAAGTTTCAGTGCTATTCCATGTTGGGTCCTACACATAAAGCATTATGGGAAGGTAAGAGAGTAAACATGTCCAAACGCTACCCAGAGAAATCAGCATCAAAACAAACCAAGAAAGAGTGAAATAGGCTTGGGGTCAGATCCAACAGGAGCAGGGGCAATATGGACAGCCAATGGCCACCCCAGCAGCCCTGCTCCACAGACCTAGGATAGAAAAAAAATCCAGCCAGAAGTAGCTGTACAGGAAAATACAGGGACTTTAAAAAAGCCACAAGCTGGAGGCAGGGGCAGGCCTTTCTGAACATGTAATAAATCTAAAAGCCATTAAAAGCAAAAAGAGATTTGTTACATCTGAAAGGGGGGGATCCATTTTTACATCTACAAGTTAAAAGACATGAGAAGCTGAGAAAATCTGCATGGTGTACAACACAGGATCCCATCTCTGATATGCAAACCAGCTGGAAGATAAGGGAAAGATGGGGGGGGGGGGAGGACACGGGACACAGCCAGATAGAAAGCATGCCGAGGACCATGTGGGTGATTCACATGCAGCTGTGTGCTCTTAGATACCTGCTCTCAACTTCAGAAAAGGTCAGTGAATATGCAAAAAGATAACCAGTGAAATCAGCCGGTAAAAGTTTAAGGATATGCAAACCAGCTGGAAGATAAGGGAAAGATGGGGGGGGGGGGAGGACACGGGACACAGCCAGATAGAAAGCATGCCGAGGACCATGTGGGTGATTCACATGCAGCTGTGTGCTCTTAGATACCTGCTCTCAACTTCAGAAAAGGTCAGTGAATATGCAAAAAGATAACCAGTGAAATCAGCCGGTAAAAGTTTAAGCTAGCAGGGGCTGGAGAAATGGCTCAGCAGTTAAGAACACTGGTTGTTCTTGCAGAAGACCTGGGTTCGAATCCCAGCACCCACATGGCAGCTAGCAACTGTCCGTAACTCCAGTCCCATGGGATCTGACAGCCTCTTCTGACCTCTGCAGAGGAAGAAGCAGGCCAGCCAGCCCTGATAGTGAGACCCTGTCTCATAAAAAAAAAAAAAAAAAAGTTTAAGCTAACAGACAGACAAAGCTAGAAAAACAGGAGGCTGGAGCTCAGTGGTAGAGTGCTTGTCTCCCTGTGTAAGGCCCTGGATTTGATTCCAGAACCCCCTACTCCTAGAAATTATCAAGGCATAAAGGAAAAAAGGATTAGCCGGACATGGTGGCGCATGCCTTTAATCCCAGCACTTGGGAGGCAGAGGCAGGCGGATCTCTGAGTTCAAGGCCAGCTTGGTCTACATAGTGAGTTCCAGGACAGCTGGGGCTACAGGGAGACCCTGTCTCAAAAAGACAAAAAAAAAAAAAAAAAAAAAAGGATAAATGAGCTAACATAAAAATTAAAACTTTGAGATTGGGAGCGGTGGCTCATGCCTTTAATCCCAGTACTTAAGAGGCAGAAGCAGGCGGATCTCTGTGAGTTCGAGGCCAGCCTGGTCTACATAGATAGCAAATTCTAGGCCAGCTGGGCTACAGGGAGACCCTGCTTCAAAAATACACACACAAAAAAACAAAAACTGGGTGGGGGTACTCAGTGGTAGAACATTTACCTGGGTTTGATCTCCAGCACTGCAAATAAAAATAAAAATAAAACAATAACAATTTGAGAGACAGGTGTAGTGGCACACACATGTAATCTCAGCACTTGGGGTGCAGACAGGATGATCAGAAGTTCAAGGTCATATGTGCCTACATAGTGAGTTCAAAAGTATTTAAAAAAAAAAAAGGAGGAGGAAGAGGAAGAAGAGATAAGCTAGGTCAGTGAGATGGTTCAGTAGATAAAAATGCTTGCAACCAAGCCTAACAACCCGAGTTTGATTTCTAGAACCCAAATGATGGAAGGAAAAATAATCTACCTGCAAATTTTCCTCTGACCTCCACAAGCACACTCAGGTACATGTATGCCCAAACAAAAACACAAACTAAAAATAAACAAATGTGTAAGCCAAATGTGATGGCTCAGCAGGTAAAAACCCTTGCTGTGCAAGCCTAGAGATCTGAGTTTGATCCTTGAACTTACACAGAGGTAAAAGGAGATAAGTGACTTCACAGAGTTGTCCTCTGACCTTCACATATGCACCATGGCATGCACACCTACATACATACATCATGCCCACATTCACACAATAATATATATATATTTTTCATATTTTGTTTATTATTTTATTTTATGTGTATGAGTGTATTGATTGCATGTGTGTAAGTGCACCTGTGTCATGAAATGCCCACGGAGGTCAGAAGAGGGCATTGGATCCCCTGGAACTGGAGTTATAGATGGTTGTTAGCCACCATATGGGTGCTGGGAATCGAACCCAGGTTCTCTGTAAGAGAAGTCAGTGCTCTTAACCTCTAAGCCATCTCTCCAGCCCTACACATATATTTTTAAAGGAGCTGGGGACATAGCTTCAGTTGTAGAGTACTTGTTTGGCATTAGTGAGGTCTGAGGTTCAAGTCACAGTACCATACATACATACAAAAAAAAAGAGAGCAAGAGAAAAAGAAAAAGGAATTCTTACATATGTTCCAACATGTAGTAACTGGGGACTCACACTGAAAGAAGCCCAGTGCATATGCACACATCACGTACTCACACCTGTGTATGCACTCCATCATGCACACAATACACACCTGTATATATTCACGTGTTCACATGCATACATATGTGTATTTGTGCGTACACATACACATGCCTGCCCACCTCTGGGGTACTTTTTTCCACGTTATTTCCTTGTTGGGAAGTCACAAGGCAATGAACAGTTATCAACCAAGCCTCTGCCGCCCTCTGGTGTCCACTCTGGTCCCTGCAAGCAGGAAGCCTGCACCCACAGCTGGAGCTGGATGCACCCAGGACTCCTGGACCAGCCAGCACTGGGGGGGAGATGCATTTAGCACATGTGCATTGCACATGCTTTGGTCTTGCTTCCACACATGGCCATGGCTTTGGAGCCTTTGCTATACAAAGCCAAAGCAGACAGGAGAGGAGCTGCTGGAGAGGGACCCTCCCTGCTGTCCCAGAGGGCATCCACTGGAACCCTGGAGCTCAGAGGAACATGGCTGGACAACAATGTCCTGAGTAATGAACAGCTGACTCACTTTCTGTGACATTCATGTTATCACTTCCAAGACAGTCATGGGACATGGTGCACTTACAGCCCTGCAGAGGGATCCGCAAAGGGCTGTCTTTCCTTCTTCTAGAGAAAGGAACAGACCCAGGTCTCTAATGGCCATGTAGCTCTACTAGGAGGAGAAAGGGGACACCATCAACCACCCTGTACATGCCAGGCCTTACGTTTTCCCAGGCGACTCCTTCAGCCAGAAGATATCATCACTTGTAATTCCATATTCCGAGGCTCCTTCAATCTATGGAGGAAGAGAAGATTCATGTGACAAGCCTACCTGGGATTTCCACAAAAACAACTTGTTTTGCAGAAACAACTCAAACCTATGAGTGGGAAGTTTCCTTGCCCTGTATCCATGTCTTCAGGTTATGTCCTCTCTGGGGATAGAAGGTAACCTGTCCTGTGTAACTCAGTGCATGCTCTGTCTGGTACTGGAAACACTGGATTCCTTAGCAACCCCCACACCCACACACACATATATACACTGGCCAGGCAGTGGTAGCACCTCCTTTCTCTTTGGGACCTTCAACTTCACTCTGATGCATACCCAGGTCACAGGGCCTGTGGTGGGCAAGGGCCACACAGACATAGTAATAGACCCCATGACGATGTCTAGGGAGCCAAGAAGGGGAGACAAAGGAGCATGGAGACCAAGAAAGCAGTGCCCAGGGTTGGAGAAGTTCAGACTTAAAAGTGAGTGAAGAAAGATAAGTAAATCAGGACCCTCAGAGCTCTGCAGTTTCCCAGTGACGGGACCGCCAGGGAGGAGAGGAAAAGGTAAACAGGTATCAGCATGCAGACAGGCTGGCTGGACATGGGGAACAAAGAGCCTCAAGGTACTAGGCTACAGGCTGAATAGAGTAAGCACCCCTCCAGCCCCCCAAGGTCATTCAGGCAATCTGCGTGTGCAGGAACTGCAAAGGTCCCCTGGCAAGGGGTGGCAAGGCAGGTAGGGTTTTAAACCCATGTCGATCGGCTCCTTGCTAGCCTGTGATGTGCTAGTGGAGAGGAAATGGATTTCAAGCAGTTTGCCATTCTAATTGGAAAAACAAATAGGAATTGCTCTGGTTTGCTTGAGGAAAGCAAAAAGGTCTAAAAATCAGAGACAGAAAGCAGCCTTAGCAAGAGAACACAGCAGCAGGGAGAGTGGGTGGCCACTAGGTGGCCTCACCAGGACTCAGCCACTCTGCCTTCATGTGGTTGAGTAGAGACACCAGCAGTACCCCTCAAGGTCTGGCAGGCAGCAGAGGAGGCATGTGAAGCCCAGCCAGTCTCTGAGAATGTGAGGTGACCTCCAGCCTTCTAGAAGCCAACTGTGGCCTTCCTTCCAGGGCTTTAGGGCAGAACTTCTAGAGCCCAGCTGCAGGGTAAAGGTTGCTTTGACCTTGTCCATCATAGCTACCTTGAGCTACCACATCATCCCTCAGAGCCAGGTGGCCTGCCGCCCTGGCCCCCTGGAGGCAGCTCTTGCTGGCATGGCAGACTGAGGCAAAGTCCTTTGGCACCCTGAGGACAGGACGCCTCATGTTCCTCTGGTCTTCTCTCTCCCCCAGTTCCAGAGCAAGCACAGCAGGGAATGGAGGCTGGGGACAGACACTCACTCCCATCTATGTCTCTGAGCAGTGGCTCTTCCCTTGCCCTTGTTCCTTCCACACTGCACCTGGGTCATGAGGCCAATGTGGCCCCAGACTGTGAGCCCCATAGAGGCTCAGCCCTCCTGGAGCTCAGGGCTGATGAAAGCAGCTCTCTGGGCAACATGCAAGGAGTGGCCTCTGCCCATCTCCTCTGATCCCTTCTAACTTCCCTGAAGTGGTGCTGCCCCCCTCAACTCTGGGCCCCTCTCTCAGCTCTGCCCTTCCACAAGGTTGGGCCAGGAGGTGCCACTGGTGGAAAGGGTAGAGTGAGGACCTCCCAAATTTACCCTTCCATAAAAGCGGAGGAAAAAAACTGGCAAAAATGTTCAGATTCAATTTTTTCATTTAAGCAAAGGTTCACAGCAACATTGGAAACAGTCAAGAAAAACAGAGGCCTTCCCTTGCTGAAGCAGAAAGCAAAGACAAGGCAGAGAGCTGAAGCTCCTCACAAAGTTATACAGAGTGGCACACAGGCTGAAGGTGCCCCCCCAAGGCATGTAGAGTAGAGATTTCATGGTTCCTAGTGTTCAAGGGAACCTCTACAGTCCTTAGCTAACACTAAGCTAATCGAATAGACCTCAGTGGCCACTCAAGAAAAAAAAAAAGAAATGCCTGCCAGGGGAGGCTCAGGAGGTAGAGGCAGGCAGAGCTCTGTGAGATCAAGACCAGCCTGATCTACATAGCGAGTTCCAGGCCAGCTGGGGCTACAGGAAGACTCTGTCTCAAAAAACAAACAAAAAAGAAGAAATGCCTTACAAAACCAGTTCAAACAGACAGCAATAACAACAAAACTCCAGTGGGAAAGGTGAGTCTGATTTCCAGAGTTACCACATTCAGTTATTTGAAATGTTGGGCTTTCAACAAAAACTGAGATAAGTGAAGGAACCAAATGCTGACCTTCATACCAGCTGCAGGGAATATAAATGGTGCAGCCACTTTGGAAAACAAGTTGGTAGTCTTTCAAAAGGTTCAACAGTGATCATGTGTTCCAACTTCCATTCTTAAATAAATACCCAGAGATGTGAAAACAAACTCCACACACAAAAAAACCCCTTTTATATGGATGTTCAAAGCAGCACAGTTCATAATAGCTAAAAAGAGGAAATTAGCTAGATATTTACCACTGGACAGGTGGCTAAACAAAAGATGGTATTGCATACATGGAAATATTATTTTGCCTTTAAATATTTTATTTATTATTTTTATTTATGTGTATGAGTATATTGCCTATGTGTGTGTGTAAGTGCACCCATGTTCTGCAATGCCTGCAGAGGTCAGAAGAGGGTACTGGATCCCCTGGAACTGGAGTTACAGACAGTTGTTAGCTGCCATGTGGGTGCTGAGAACTGAACCTAGGTCCACAGCAAGAGCAGCCAGTGCTCTTAACCACAGAGCCATCACTCCAGCCCCACTTATTCAGCCTATAAAAAGGGATTCTGATATAAGGATGGATAAACTCTGAGGGTGTGCCGAGGAAATAAGCCAGTCACAAACACAATACTATATGCACTTGGAATCGAGAGTCATTAAATTCATCAAGACAGAAAGCAGAATAGAAGACGGGGGAGCTATTTAATAGAGTGTTGGCTTAGGATTTTGAGAAGGTTCTGGACAGGGAGGAAGGTAGGTGATAGCCACACAACTGAATGTACTAAAACACATTGAATTGTGCCCCATAAAGGGGAGAATTTCTGGAAAGTGAATTTGACTTCAATTTTTTTAAAATTTTATTTATTATTTTTAGTGTATGCGTGTATTGCCTACATGTAGGTTAAGTGCACCTGTGTTGTGCAAGGCCACGCAGGCAGGATGACACTGTCAGATCCCCTGGGACTGGAGTTATGGACAGTTGTTAGCTGCCATGTGGGTGCTGAGATTCGAACCCGGGTCTTCTGCAAGAACAACCAGTGTTCTTAACCACTGAGCCATCTCTCCAGCCCTTGACTTCAATTTTTTAAAGAGTAGGGGAGGGAGAGGAAGATGAAGAACGCAGCTTCAGTCCTAGAGGTCCCAGCATCTTAACTTAGAGCCCCCCCTCATCTGTGGTGGGCAAATCAGGTACTTGGACCAGCCCGGACAACAGGTAGACCCCAGGTCTTTGCAATAAAAAGAGGGAGGGATGCACTAGAGGACAGGGGAACAGGCCCTAGGAGCCAGCAGTGCTGACAGTGGTTTCAAGGGCATGGCAGTGTGGAGAGCCTGGAGACCCAGCTCAGCAGAGTGGATTCAGGGGAGAATTGGAAAGGAGAAAGGAGGAGTACAGAAGACATGAGGGCAGAGGGCCCAACAATGAGAGCACGGTAAGGCCAGAGGTCATGACCATGCCTGGTGGGGTGGGGACACTCACGTGTGTAGGGTACTTTGGTCGCCCTCCTGTAGCAATAACAATGTGGTCAGCTGAAAGCAGAGTCTGGGAACAAACCAAGAGCCGTGGGTCAAACAGTATGCTGGGCAACCATCAAAGGGCTCAAATATCTACGAGGGCTAGGGCAATGGTTTCTGTGCCCCTCACCCTGCAGTGTAGATGCCTTGTCTGCATCTCAGAGCCGGGGTACCACAAAGGCCCGCTGGACAGGAGAGCCATGCAGAAAGGACAAAGAGGTGCTCTGACTCTAAGCACTTCAGTATATGCAAGGACCTGGCAGACTTTATGCCTCAGATCCCCACAAAACCTGCAGGAAGAGAATGATCCCTCCCCGCTTTTAGCCATTACATCAAGCTGCAGAACATCCAGCCATGGTGTAGATCTCATGGAAGCTGTTTAACAAGGGGTGCGAGTGTGTGTGTGTGTGTGTGTGTGTGTGTGTGTGTGTGTGTGTGTGTGTAGCTGGAGTCTAACATAGCTCAGGCTAGGCAAGCACTCTACCACAGAGCTATATCCCCAGCTGGCTTGTTTGTTTATTGGTGTAAGGAGACAGGGTCCCACTATATAGCTCACAGCTAGTCTAGGATTTTAAAAAAATATTTTATTTATTATTTTTACTTATTTTACTTATGTATGAGTGTATTGCCTGCATGTGTGTAAGTGCACCCATGTTGTGCAGTGCCCACAGAGGTCAGGTGTTGGACTCCCCTAGAACTAGAGTAAGGGATGGTTGTTAGCTGCCATGTGGGTGCTGGGAATCAAAGCCAGGTCCTCTGCAAGAGCAGCCAGTACTCTTAGTCACTGAGCCATCTCTCCAACCCTTGGTCTAGCATTTAAGATTCTTCAGTCTTGGCCTCCCCAGTGCTGCACTCTCAGGCTTGGCCACTGGACCTATCTGCTTAATCTCACTGAAGAAGTGTGACCTCAAAAGCAGCTGTTATCAGGTGCACAACACCCAGGCTGAGGGCCTGAGCTCAGGTACCAGAGGGGCCATGAGGCACAGGTGGGCACTCACCTCCTTTCCACTTTTTGTAACACCACAAACTGTGTGCTTGTCGACAAAACTGGCTTTGATGTTAAAGTACTTGACTTTCCTGCAACATAAAAATGAGATTTTCTTTCCTTTTTGAGACAGGCTCTCATGCAGCTCAGGCTGGATTCAAATTTATTATGTAGCCAAGGATGACCTTGAACTCCTGATCCTCCTGCCTTCACTTCCAAAGTGCTAGCTACGATTATAGGTGTGTACCACCGTACCTGACTCTTAAATTTTTTTTTTTCAAACATTTCCTCTGCAGATTCAACCTCTGAGGTTGAAAAGATGGGAGCACTGTACAAACTGCTAAAAGGTGAGTTCTGGAGCTGCACAGGGACCTGGGTTCCATTCCTAGCACCTCAGAAAGAAAAAAAAGGGGCAGCATGTACACGTGTACACACAGAATAAATGAACACATCTGAGAAATATTTTTTTGAAAAATATTTTTTAAATAAAACAAAGAAAAGAACTTCAGCCCAGGGCCAGGTGCCTGTGGCCCAGCTGGGACAGGTGAATAGACAATCACACTGGAAAGCAAGAGGGAGCAAGGAGGGCCTCACCTGCTCCCCCACCCCCCATACATGGTGAACACAGATGTCAGGACAGGGACAGAGCTGAGCTTGGCATCATCCTGAGAGCCTACAAATCATACCAGGCCTTGGGAAAGGGCCAGGCCTCCCAGAGGAAAGTTCCAGTCGGGGGGCTGAAGTGCCCACAATATACAGGTCACCTTGTATTTGAGAAGCACTGGAAGGCCAGGAGAGTAGGCACAACGAGGCTATGGGCATAGTGTGGCTAGGTATGTGGTGAGCAGAATCGACCAGCTCTCCCATCAGAAACTGTCCAGGAGCTGCCTCCCCACTCTTCCCTTCTCCTCACTCATGTCCCTCTGGGCTGTCTTTACTCGCCCTGACAATCAGAGAACAGCTCTGTGACACAGACACAGATACTCACACAGCGCTGGTCTTAATAAGAAAAAGTGGAGCCTCCCTCCAGCTGTGAAGCTCCTCTGCTGCCTGACTTGGGACTCACCATGCTCCATCCCCTCAAGTTGTGGAGAGACACAGTGGCCTGGCTGAGGGATGGAGCCTGCACAGGGCAAGCCTCTCAATGGCCTCCTTAGCCTAATCACAGGTACATGCTCAGGCCTGAGATCTCCCTGCCTACCCCACTCTTTCCTCCTACTCCAGCCATTCAGCCAGCACACCCTCCTTTGCCATCATTTCCTGTGGGTTCTACTTGGTTGCAGGCCTCTGAAGCATCCCCCATTTCCCACATCATTGACCAATCTACTCCTTGACTCTGCTCCACTGAGATGCAGGGTCCCTCATCTCACCACTGTGGTGTTCCCAGAGCCTACTAGAGACTGCTCTGCACACATGACTAGAAGCTCTTTTGCTAATACAAAACGACTTCAAGGAGGCCAGGAGGGTTATCTTTCATGTGGCAGGGCCACATCACAGGACATGGTGGTGCCTCAGTACCTGTCCTGCAGTTGGACACGGTGACCCCAGTTCAAGGACTTCACATGGTTCTGCACAGCTTCTGCCATTTTATTCCTGTTGACACACACAAAAAATCATAAAATCCACAGCATCCATTTTGGCTGTAGAGTTCACACAGACAGTAAATGTATATTATACATCCCCAGAAATACTGGAAAAAGGAGTATGGTTATTTTACTTTTTTTGGATGGAGGAGAACAGGGTCTTTCTATGTAACGTAGACTGGCTTCATACTGGAGATCTTCCCAGCCTTCTGAGTCCTAGGAGTGAATCACCAATCCCAGCTTGAAGGTGAGTTTAAATGGCTAAAGTCTAATGCCCATCCCCAGGGACCACATTGTCTCTGACCAGGGTTTGGGGCTATAGAATCCTGGGCTCTCTATCTGGGAGATGTTGTATGCCCTACCTCCACTTGGTGACCCAAAGAGGTGTCTGGAGAGAGTACCAAATATTTCAGCTGCCCTCAGTCCAAAGACCTGGCCTGCTGCTCTCCAAGATATGAGTAATCACAGGTGAATCTCCCCTCCCGAGGGGAGCAGGAAAGAACAGCAACACATGGCAAGGGCTCCTTACCAGTCATGCTGGACAGGCTGAGCCACCTCCCAGCCATAGTGGTGGGCATCTCGGATCATGTCCCCCAGCAGTGCTGCCTGATGCATCAGCTTCTTGGGAATACAACCCACGTTGACACAGGTGCCGCCGAGGCCCCACCTGGTACCTGGAACGTCAGAAAGAGCTTTGTGTGTGTGTGTGTGTGTGTGTGTGTGTGTGTGTGTGTGTATGCATGTGTTTGTGCATGCATGCATGAGTTTACATGTGTGTGCATGTGTTTGTGTATATGTGCATTTGTGTATGTATGTGTTTGTGTATATGTGTTTGTGTGTGCATGCATGAGTTTACGAGTGTGTGCATGTGTTTGTGCGTGTGTTCCTGGGACTGGAACTCAGCCACTGAATCACCCCCTGGCCCTGATAAGAGTGCATTTGAGTTCCCATAGGAATACAGAGGCTTCCTATTTGTTCTACATGGTTCATAATGCCTTTAGGTGGCTGCTGTTTTGTAACTTGAACTTGGCCTGGGTGAGCCTTGCCACAGAGATTTGTTCCTTATGACTGTATTCAGTCATTTAAAAAATAAGAACTTTAATGGCTACAGAGCTGGCTCAGCAGCTAAGAGCATTGGCTGCTCTTGCAGAGGACCTGGGTTCAGATCCCTGCATCCACATGACGGCTAACAACCTTTTATAACTCCAGCTCCAGGGAATCTAACACCCTCTTCTGGTCTCTGTGGACATTCAGGCATGCACATGGTATACATACTTATATGCAGACAAAACACTCATACACATAAAATTTTTAAATGTAAAAAAAAAAGAATTTTATACTAATGACAATCTGAATGATGAACAGGCTACTCCAGGGAGACTGTGGATAGAGAGGAATGAATTACTTCAGGGTCAGTCATCCTCTGAATGTGAGCTGTGTCCCCTCACTGCCCCCTTCCTTAGGACTCATGGTTCTCATGGGGGCTGCTTACCTTGGGGAGATGGTTCCACATAGTCAGTTACAGCCACCTTCTTTCCCAGCTGAGCAGCTGAAATGACAAGGATGACTGCAGTTAAGCAGAGAGGGGAGCTGGCTTGCGGTTGGGGCCTCCCCCGGGCCCATGAGGTCCAGAAGGAGGTAAGGAAGGGTCTAGGACAGTACCTGTCCACACAGTGGCTGAGCTGTCAATGCTAACCCGGTTATCCCTTGACCCTGGCACCCTGTCCACACGGCTGCCCACCAACTCTGCATCTGCCCTCCTGGCCTTCCCATTACCCACTCGGCTGAGCTGCCAATAGATGGGAACCCTCTTTTCAGATTCCAGTCTTTGCACTCCCTACCAGAGCAGTGCTGGGATGGATCCTCAGCCCCAAATCACTCAGCAAAGTTCCTACTCCCACCTAGTTCCAAGTCCAGACTTTCAAGGTGAGCCCAGTGCCCAACCCAAGCACATGAAAAGATGTTCAGCCTCACTAACTGCTAGAGAATCACAAATCTACCCCACAGGAGAGCACGTCACACCTGCAGAATGGTTATGGCAAACAGGTAATAATATCAGCAAGGAGGTGGGGGTGGGGGATTGGAGCTGCTGGGAATGTTAATGTGGCAGTCACTTTGGAAAACAGTCTGTCAAATGGAGGACTTACTGCATGATCGAAGTTACCCTAGAACGTCATTCCTAGCAAAATACCCGAGACAAAAACATGTCCACATAAAGGTTTGTACACAAATATTCACAGCATCATCATCATCATCATTATTTGGGGGGGGGGTTGGTCTTTTTGAGACAGGGTTTCCCTGTAGTCCCAGCTGGTCTAGAACTTGCTATGTAGATCAGGCTGGCCTTGATCTCACAGAAATCTGCCTGCCTCTGTCTCCCGAGTGCTGGGATTAAAGGTGTGCGCCACCATGCCTGGCTACACAGCAGCATTATTAATGACAGCTAGAAAGAGGGACTGGATAACTCAGACCCATCACCTAACACATGAACAGGCAAAATGTGGTCTATTCACACAACAGAATATTATTCAGCCATAAAGAAGAGGGAAGTCCTGATACACACTATTTTATGAATGACTATGGAAGACACAGAAGTAAAAGAAACAATAACAATAGATGATATATGACCCATTTATGTGAAATGTCCAGAAGAAACAAGTCCAAGACAGAAAGTAGTTTCATGGTTGCTAGAGTTACAGAGGAAGGGGTGTGGAGGGTGACTACTACTGGGCATAGAGTATTCTGGGGAAGATGAAAATGTTCAAAAACTAGGGCTGGAGAGATGGCTCAGCTGTTAAGAACACTGTTCTTGCAGAAGACCCAGGTTCAAATCCTAGCACCCACATGGCAGCTAACAACTGTCCGTTAACTCCAGTTCCAGAGGCTCCGACAGCCTCTTCCGTCCTCTGCTGACATTGCACGACACGGGTGCACTTACCTACATGCAGGCAATACATGCATACACATAAAATTAAAAATAAATAAATAAAGTTTAAAAAAAAGAAAGAAAATGTTCTAAAACTGACTGTAATGGTAGCTATACAAGTCTGCAAATATACTAAAACACTGAATAATCCACTTTAAATGAGTAAATTATGTCGTATGTGACATTTCAATAAAACAGTTAAAAATGAGATGAGACACTTGGGGGTAAATCTGGCAAAATATATGAAAGACTCACATACTGAAAACTACACGGTAGGCATCAAAGTGAACACCTGCAATCCCAGTGCTTCGGAGGCATGAATGGGAGGATCAAAAATCTGAAGTCAGCCTGGACTCTAAATGGGATTCTGTATCAAAAAAAAATTTAAATAAAGAAAAAGAGAGAGAAAATAAACTATAAAGGTACTGCAAAGAGAAAGGGGAAAATCTCAATAAAAGATATACCACATGACCCAGGTTGTCCACTTGCCCAAGAAAATTTAGAACACACATCCATGGGGCTGGAGAGATGGCTCGGTGGTTAAGAGCACTGGCTGCTTTTGTAGAGGACCTGGGTTTCGTTTCCAGCACTCACATGGTGCCTAACAACTATCTATCACTCCAGTTCCAGGGGAATCTGACACCCTCTTCAGGCCTCCACAGGTATTGCACACATGTGATGCAATTATATACATACAGGCAAAATACTCATACACATAAAAATAAATAAAAATTAAAATACACACACACAAACACACGTTCACACCTAGGCAGGGGACACACATCTTTAACCCAAGCACTTAGAAAGTGGAGGCAGAAGGATCAAGAGTTCAAGGCTAGATTCAGCTATATAGAAAGTTCCAGACCAGCCTGGACTACATTAGACCCTGTCTCATACAAAACAACAAAACAAAATAAGGGGGTTGGTGGGGAGCCATACATTCATATAGGCATTCACACCCACACAGATACACACACACACACACACACACACACACACACACAGACATATAATGTTCATAGCACCAGTGTTGACATTAATAAAAAACTGAGAACAAATATCCATATGTAGGTGAATACACAAAGAAGATATGATCTATGTACTGTCACAATGCAATAAACAATAATAAACTACACATGCTCGGCAAACAAGGAGAGTCTCAAAATAATGATGTTGAGTGAAAGGAGTCAGGGGGTAAAGCACAGAGCATACTTCTACTTGCATACACACTAGCGAACACCAACCAACCTATAGTGGGAGAAAGCAGGCCAGTGGTTGCCTTGGGATGTAGGGGATGGGAAACAGGAAGGAATTACCACAGTCTAAGGAAGCTAGACATTGTAGTGGGCTGGATGTGTGCCCCTTCCACCACACTGCCAAAATTCATATTGGAGTCTTAACCCTCAGTGCCAAGAAATATGATTATATTTGGAGATAAAGTTAAAATAAGGATACAAGGTTAGACCCTTGTCCAATTGACTGGTGTCCTGTAAGAAATTAGGGCATAGATACACAGAAAGGCCAACATAAAGATATGAGAAGGTGCTGGAGAGATGGCTCAGCAGTTAAGAGCACTGGCTGCTCTTGCAGAGGACCTGGGTTTGGTTCCCAGCACCCACATGATGGCTAATAGCCATCTGTAACTCCAGTTCCAGGGGATCCAATGCCCTCTTCTGGCCTCCATGGGCACTTGATGCACATAGTACACTTACATACAGCGCAATATGGCAAAACACTCATACACATGAAATATAAAATAAAATCTTTTTTAAAAGATATGAGAAAACACCACTTATAAGGAAAGACACCAGAAGAAAGCAATCTTGCTGACACTTTGGTCTTGGACTTGTGGCATCCAGAACCCACGTTGGTATAAGCCTGTGGTTATGTAGCCCTGCCTTGGCTGCAGACTGATGGGAGGCATTAGGGACAGTCACCATCTTTACTATGGTACTGCTTTCACAGATACACCCACATGTCAAAACCTGTCAAGTTGTTTCAATTTTTATTTATTTACTAATTTATTGTGAGACAGGGTCTTGCTATGCTACTTAGGCTGGTCTCAAGCTCCTGGACTCAAGTGACCATCCTGCCTCAGCCTCCTGAATCACTGGAATCACAGATATGCGTGACCATGCTCAGCCTTCAGTTACTTTAAATATGCACTGGTTTGTCAGTTCTACCTCAATAAAGTGAGTCTCCATCTCAGAAACAAAAACGAAAACCATGGTGCCAGAGAGATGGCTCAGCAGTTAAGAAAGCATACATACTGCAGAGGACCAGAGTTTGGGCCACGTGAACTGGCTCACAACTGCCTGAAACTCCAGCTCCAGGGGATCTGGCACTTTCTTCTGGACTCTCCAGGCACCTGCACTCACCTGTACATAGTCCCACACAGATATACACATAATAACCATAATTTTAAAATAATACAAATTCATTAAAATTAAAAACCAACCAACCAAGAAACAGGGATGGGACTATGCCACTCTTAGGAAAGGGATAGCCAGACCCAGGATCTGTGTGGATTCCAGATTAGAGGAGATATTTGTTCTTAGAGCACTCTTTCCCTGGACTAAATTTAGGCCCATCTTCCCAATGCCACCCTTTTCAGGGAACCCAAAAGCTTTGAGACCACAACATACTAGCAGGGACACAGGACATAAGCTACATACCTTCCTTGGCACAAGCCAGGCCACCAGATCCCCCACCAATCACCAAGAGATCAAAGTCCTGCTGCCCTGCTGAGGAAGAACAGGAGGTAAGAAGATGCCAGACTCAGACCCTGGAAGGATGCCTTGCTCTCTGAAAGGCAAGCAGCTCTGTTCAGTTCTATGTGGTTCAGGGTCTATTGTATCCCATCCGGGGGCAATCAGGGGTGACAATGTATCATCAGCATCATACTTCACAGTACAGTCCACAATATCTAAAAAATCAGAAACCAGAGTGTGGGAAGCTGGCTGCCACAGTATGTGACCATCTTTGCAGAAAACCACCCCAAAAGCTGTCTCAGAATCTAAGAGTTCACCCAGTTTCCTGGATCAGACAGAGCAAAACTATTTTCATTGAATCTACAAATCTTTTGGTGACTTCATTATAGCCAGCACGGATATACATGAAGCTTCTCCCACACAAGAAACTGAGGGCCCACACAGTCAAGTGCTTCAGAATGTCTGGCTGTGCAGTGAGACCTGCAGGTAGAGCTGCCAGAGTTCCTGTTTCTTCTTATGAATTCCCTTTGCCATGAGTCTACCCTCCAACATCAGAGTCTTGCATCTGTAATAAGAAGGCTACACCTAGAGCTGGCAAGATGGCTCAGTGGGTGAAAGGCACTTATCACCAAACCTGATGATCTGAGTTCTATCCCCAGGACTCTGGTGGTAGGAGAGAAACAACTCGCAGCAGTTGTTTTCTGACTTCCACAAGCATTCCATAACATGTGCATACCGACAAACATACACCAAATAACTGAAATATAAAAATTTAAAATGTCTACACCTGTCATAGCCACCTTAGGCTTTTTGAGTTGGCAAGCCTGCAGATACCCTGGGGCTCCCATACCCCTCAGGGTCACTGGCCTGCACCCCTGCAGGGACACACATAGCCAGAGGAGGTCCATGGTTTACAGGCCCACAACTGAACCCACCCCAGGTTCAAGTTCTGAGAAAGCCTGAACAGTTCTAAATTGGCTTTGATGTGATCTCAGAGGAGACAAGTTCACATTCAGCCCCAGGGAAGACCAGCCTGATAGGCAGAGCCTCTCTTTCCTCTCTATCTGGTGGTGGGAGGAGAGGGCTATATCTTTACCCTGGAAAAGGTTCCTACCTTGCATTACTGATGCCTGACCTTCCTGTTGCCCAAGTGGGGCCCCTACTGGATCATCCTGCCCTGAAGTTCTCCGCTGTGCCCTCTTGCCTACTTGCTATCAAGCAGCCAGCTGGCAGGGCTGGCTTATCATGGCCACTTGCTTTCCCCACTGTACATACCCAGGAGCCCTCTCTGTGTGATAAGCACTTGGAAGAAGCCTGCGAGTGGAAGTTTACAAGGGTGAGTACTGGAAAGGGTATCGGAAGCCTACTACTGGTGGGTAGAAAATGTGGGTGAAGGAGGTACTGTTCTGCCAAGGCTAGGTGGTAGGTGTGAGGGGATGACACAGTCTCCTAGATGATGACTTCCTGGAGGGAACCCTCACATTCTGGCCTTCACTCACTGTGGTTAGGCCATTCTCCCTGGCTACAGTCTCATATCCAAACATGTCTCTGCCTCATATCTGCCTCCTGACCAATACTGTCCTTTAATTTTTGGTTCTTTTCTGAATCCAGTGTCAGGGCCAGCAGAGAGCAAGAATCCAGTGGGCATGGCAAGGCCCAAATGACTGGTATGCTGCTTCCACAAAGTAAGAAGCTCCCTAATGTACACCCTCAGGCCCAGCTGTTCTCCCAGGCTAGAGTTCCTGCCAGCAGGTATCAAGGACAGATGATGCCAGCAGTATTATCACTCTAGTTCATGTTTGGGTGATACATCATACCCCCACCACCAGCTGGAAAACATAGGTGTCGCCTGCTCCAAAAAGAGAAACTGTAAGGTTGAACTGGAATAGATACACCAATGGACTCCAGAGTCATGGTAGGGAATGGCACATTCTCTAGAGCCTATTGCATCATCACCTCGGAGAAGCTCTGAAGTCCTTGGGCTGTGGGGCAGGATCCTTAGGGCAGCTGGAAACAAATCGCAAGGCTACACAGCTGCTTGGTAGTTTGAAAGGCCCTGGGCTTGTGAGCTCAGTACATCTCCCATTTGCAGATCTTTTATTGCCACTATGCAGGGTGATGGCTCCAGTGGCACAGGTGCATTCATTGATGGATTTTTCCCACACACACAAAAAAAATCATTGTAAATGTCCCCACCTAATATAAGCAGCAAGGAGACTCTTGAAGAACCAGGGTCTTGAGAGTCAACAGAACTACTGTAAGAGCAACTTTAGGTCTCTAAAGACCCTTAACGTGGGGAAACAGCATACCAGTCATTTGGGCCTTGCCATGCTCACTGGACTCCTGCTCTCTGCTGGCCCTGCTCCAGATACTGGATTCAGAAAGGAACAAGGTGGGGACTGCCTCCCAGACCACCCTGTCACTGAGTCAGAAGGCCTCTGCCCATTTATATATGCAGTCAGCCTGTTTGCCTGTTCTTCCCTGCCAGTAGCTGTGCTTTCCATGCCACTACCTCTGTTAAGAACCCCCACCTATTAGGCTCATGTCAACCACACTCACCCCCTGTAGGCAGAGTTGAGTTCTATCACTAGCACCCAGTGAGGATGGTCATCACATAAGTGCATGGTAGAGACCACTCATGAGACTAACCATACCACTGCAGATGTGGTGGCAGTGTGGCCAGCTCTAGAAAAAGCTGTCTTGTCAGGCGTAGTGTGAACCATGCTGGGTGACCTGGTACCCAGCTTCTGCTTGGGCCATTTGATGTCAATGATCACTGCCCTGTTTCTACCA